GTCCCTCCAGAGTTTAAGGCAAACGTTCTGCGAAAGTAAAACTGATAGCTTTTGGTTATTCCTTTCTAGTACCTACTGGTTATACTCGGAATCTCTGTGGTCGTTTACCCAATTATCATTTATTTTTCATTGGAAGGTAACAAAAGACAAGAAAAGTAATTTTGCCTTTACAGAATCTTAGTTTTGCCCTGGAAAAACATTTCAGAGCCCTTACAAAAATTTAAAAAATATGTTTTTCATAGATTTCTTGATATGCTCTACAATCAGGACAGATCAGAAAATTTTTTGGAAAAAAAGTTTTTGACCTAGAAAACTGGTTTTTCAAAAATCGGGTCTTCGGAGGCCTAGCAGCCCAAATGCTTGTCATAGTCAGATTCAGCATGTTTGATTACCTGTTTTCCACTAGCTTAGAGCTCAAAAGCGAGTTGACGGTTGGGGACTTTCCTCGTCAGTCGACCGTATAAACAAAGGAAAGCAAAGGATAGAATTCTTTTATGCAGTGAGAAAGCAATTGAATAGTGAATCGATCGGATATCTGGACAATATTTCTTCCAGATTTTTTGCTAAGCTTTCTGTTGTTAAGCACAGTTTCTTATCTTACTATGCATCTTTTTGAACTGTCTGGTGACGATTTATACGACCTTTCCGGATGCACAGGTATAAAACAATTTCTAGATCCGAAAATTCAACTCTTCTACACATGTTTGCCAGGATCGCCGTTATTTTTATGAATTCGTAAAATACGAATTGATGTCTAGGACAAGACACACTTCTCTGAAGTTAAGAAAACTAAGCATGGTCTCTTCGCAGCGATTCGCATAGTTCTCACCTCAATGCCATCCATTATCTTTAATTGATTCAGGTGTTGAAGAACACTCTGAATATTTCTCACTAGTTTTATCAGTTTGTTCATTTACAAGAATGCATAAAAATAAGATAAAAGAATTTGTTAAGTTAAACTAGTGTATGTTTTTTTTGTGTTTGTTTGTTTATCTACTGCACATCTTTACGTCGTTTTATTGTTAAAATTAAAAGCAGACTAAACTAACACAACAAGTGTGATTTTTTATTTTACTTTACTGCTCTTGTTGCCTTTACACATTCTCACAATTATCATCGGTAAAAAAGAGATATCATAATTGAACAACTGCTTTTTCGGGGTGAATCTTGTATTTGTCTGAAGCTCTGTTTTTGCGCTAATATGCACAATCAATATTAGATGCATCAGTTTAACAGTTCCCGATCATTTTTTTATTTTTAACAAAGGAAATGTACCTAGTCTATATTCGTCATCTGTGTCCATTTCGATATCTTGCTGTTGATCACCTTCCTGTGCTAGTGAATAACAACTCAAATTTCCTAGTGAACAGTTTTGTTGATCGGCTTCTTGTGCTAATGATTCACAGTCTAAATTTCCTATTAAATCGTTGTGTGGATCATTGTCTGGCATTTGTGCTCTATTACCATCATTAATTTTTGAAATTGTATCATTATTTAATTTGACATTATTAATTAGTTTTTTCAAATTATAATAATGAAATATAATTAATAGGAATGAGTTAGCTTTGCTATAATTCATTTCCGAAACAATATATTTGTATCTGCCAAGCCAACTATTGGTTTGTTCGCACGATTGTGAATTTAGAATTTCTGTTTCAGGAAATTGTCGATAGTCCAAGTATCGTCTGCACCATGGATCAACATGATTATGATAATGAAATTTATCAATAAGAAATCTTTTATTCCATAATAAAGTCATTGCTGCAGTTTCATTAATTTCCTTTCTGTAATGATTGCAAATGAATTTGACGAGATGACAAGCATCGTCATAAAAAATAAGATCCGGAATGTTCGGCGAAATTTTAATTATATTACAAATATTATTAATTAGCACTTTGATCGTTTCTTCGCTTCTTAACATTTCTGCATAGCCAATTATAATACCGCAATTTGTGACCAATAAACTATATCCACATGCACGTAAATGTTTCGACAACTAGAATGAAAAGTTATCAAGAACAATTTTTGTAAAGGCGATTATTACAATGATAACGCAAGCTTTGCTTCATTTCATGAGACTCAATTTTGTTAGTGATCATCTGTTAGTTTCTACGCTTCAGTAAGAATTCACACCGTTTGTAGTGTAAATAATTTCAGGTAATTTCATATTAAAACTTTTAGAGAAAAAGCGTAAAGTGCAGCTTTTACATAGCTATATTTACAAAACGAGCAAGTTCTTCAGCTTTTAGGCAATGCATTTTTTTTACAATCAAAAATAGAAGCAAGAACATCTCTCTGAGACTTACTTTGTCAGGACGTTGATTCTCTTTTAAAGTACGACACGATAATTTGGGACAGACGACGTTAATTTTTCTTCTTCCTGAACGAAGTGTCATTGTGGACGATTCGCCACGTTCTATGTAACTTGGTGGAACACAATCGGTGAGATCATTTTCATTGAGATTACTATGTTCATGACATTAATAGCTACCAGACAATGGTGACTTGGAACATCCTACTTGAATCGAGTCGAATTCTGGTGTTGTGATTGATTTTGAATGAGAAAAACAGATTCTACGACGTAATTTCATTATACCATCTCCTGTGAGTGATCGTGTACAGTGTTTAATACATTGATGACGTACTTTATGATTTAACCAATAATGCACAAATAATTCATAGTTCTGTTGAAATGAATCTTCTGTCCATTGATTAATTTGATAACGCCTCAAAAATGGAAGTTGAATCCGATGTTCTCCAAAATATAAACGTATTTTAACCAATTGATAGACGAAAAATATTGTTTCCAGCGCTTCACGTGTAAGTTTAGTTTTGTATCGTGCGACAGTTGTAGTTAGGTATGCACCAGTTACAGTTTTTTACCAGTTAACTGTAACTGTGAAAACTGTAACTGTCATAACTGTGTAACTGTTATAACTGTAACTGTCAAAACTGTAACTGCTCATAACTGTAGACAAATATTCTAAAGTGAATTAGTCTTCTACGATTTGGAGACATTTTAAGAACAGAGACATCCTTAAAATGTATGCAAATCGTAGAAGACTAATTCACTCTAGAATA